GCGGCTGTGGTCCCGAGGTGCGGGGAGCCAGACGGCGGCAACCCCAGGGGCACGCGGGGCCAGGGTGCGCAGCCGGGGGCTGCAGCAGACACACGGCGACTCGCGGTCCTTCTGCGCAGGCAGGCATCTCTGTGCCCAAGCCACGACTGGCTCGTCCTCCCTCGCCACCGCGGGGCTGAGTCACTTATTAATTGTTTACTGTCTGGAGCTCCGCTCTCGTGGTCCTCACGCTTCCTTGGCAAGGCGACCCCACAGGGCCGAGACCTCCTTTGCAAACAGCGTGCAGAAATCTCCACAGCCTGCAGGTGACGGAGCCGGTGGCCCCTGACTGTCTGCCGCTGTGGGGTCTCCACGTACACTCGAAGCTCACCCAATAGCTTCTTCCCCCTTTTCCTTTCCTTCTTTCACTCATACCGCCAGCCTTTTTTTTTTTTCTTCCCTTAGCACAGAAGGAAATCCACCCTGTCTCCTAAGTTTGACGAGACAACAAGCGAGCCATGGGAAGGCCGGCGTTCACCCTGCTGACTGGAGCCCCCGTTCCTCTGCCCGTGCCCTGTCCCCTCCCCACGTTCCTCACCGGCCCGCATGAAGGTCCTGCGGGAAATCGTAGCTCAGAGCACGACTCTGTCAGCGCGGGCCCCTGAACACAGAAACCATCTCTGCGACGCCGCTCCAGGCAACCTAGAAAAACAAAAACAAAAACAAAAACAAAATGCTGGTTTTAAAAGACAGTCTCTGAGCTTCCTCACGAGAGGAAGAAACTTGACAACGCTGCTGTCGAATGAAGCAGGAGAGATGACACATCCTTCAGAGCCCCTGAAAGAAAGGTGGACGTGTCTTTATCCACCGGAGCATTAACCTTTCTGAGAATCACGAAGCCTGATGAGAATGTCCCTCGCCTCTGGAAGGCGGAAGAGGGCCACAACGGAAGCATTTCATGCCAAGGAGACAGACAGAGAATTGCACACTGCAAAACCTAAGTTTAAAGAACACAGAGGGATACATGCATCCCCATGTTCATAGCAGAACTATTTACAAACACCCAGATAGGAAAGCCACCTAAATGACCATCGACAGACAAATGGGTAAAGACGCTGTGGTTTATTTACACAATGGAATACTACTCAGCCCTAAAAAAGAATGAAATAACGCCATTTGCAGCAACATGGATGGACCTGGAGGGCATTGTGCTAAGTGAAATAAATCAGACAGAGAAAGACAAATACTGTGTGATACAACTTATATGTGGAATCTAAAAAAAACAAATGAGTGAATATAACAAAACAGAAGCAGACTCACAGATACAGAGAAAAAGCTAGTGGTGATCACTGGGGAGAGGGGTGGGGAGGGGCAAGAAAAGGGGAGGGGATTAAGAGACACAAACTACAGTGTATAAAATAAATAAGCAACAAGAATATATTGTACATCACAGGGGTTGGAGTGAATATTTTATAATAAATCTAAATAAAGAATAGTCTATACCAGTTGCAAGTCACTATATTGTACACCTGAAACTAACATAATAGCACAAATCAACCATACTTAAATTGAAAAATAAAATTGGAAATGTCAAGAAGGACATTATTTCTGATCCTATAAATCAGCATTCATAAATGCATATAGTTAAAAAAAAAAGCTGTAAACAAGTTTTCAAAAGAGTCATCATTTTTTTTAATCAGGAAACATTGTTTCAGACAGAAACCACTCCGTAAATCCCATTTGCAACCACCCTTCTGTTTTCACCAACTCAAGCTCCGTGAATGGTCTTCCAAGTACTTAAAAAGCCACCAAGGTTAGCAGACCACACCGTGGAGAAATAAATTGCAATAAACGATGCATTTTCATAAGGGAGCTGAAAGGCTGTCCCCGAGCACAGCGGCGCTGCAGACTGGCTGCAGGCTTTGTTCGTTTAAGCGACCTCGGACTGAGTGTGGCCGGATGGCTCCTTGCATGCGCACCTTGCACGCGCCTTGACAAGGGTTTGCCTGTGTTCCGTCTGTGCGCGTGCTACGTCCCTGCGTCCAGAGGGCACCCGGGTGCAGAGCTGCCTTCTCACCGTTGTAATGATGAGCGCGGAAAAGCGAGACCATCATTGAATGCATCATTTGCTATGCAAATTGTATTTCACAGAGAATTGTTTGCTCTGACCTTTCTTGGACTTGCTGTTTCAAAGCGCTCCGTTCTTAACCTCTCAGAATGCAGTTCAAGTGTCTGAGCAGTGACTTGCGCACGTGCAGGGATGGTGGAGAGGACCCACTGTGTGACCATATCCATTTTAAACTGTGCTGTGTTTACTCCGCGAAGGCAGGAGCTCGCCCTCCCCAGGGAAGAGAAAGGTTGGTGCGCGGGGACGCACCCTTCTGAGCTCCACGCTTATCTGCACCCCGTGGTCTGTAAACCTTTTGGTCAGAAACTATCCACATGGCATCAGGCACCCCAGTAGTTGAATATCATTCTACTTACAGGAGAAGGCAGGGGGCTTCTGTCTCTTTCTTAAAGATGGTTTTATTCATCTTGCTTTGTCCTTGGTGCCAAGCACAGGTCAGTCCCAGTGGGCGTTGGAAACAGGAAATGGAGAAAAGATGGACAGAGGGAGGGAAGGAGGGAGGGCTGGAGGAACAAAGGAAAGAAGAAGGAAGCAGGGAGGGAAGGAAGGAAGGGAAGGAGAAAAAGGAAAGAAGGAAGGAAGGAAGGAAGGAAGGAAAGACATAAGGAAGGGGCAAAAGAAGAAAGGGATCTTATCTGCTGTCTTGATTATTATGAGCCAATTTTTCATAGACTCCCTTTAATTCCTGTCACTGGTAGTGATAAACTTTATCGCAACTCAAGAGCATTTTATTGGTAGATGCTTGAATGAATTAGGGGCAATATCTGCATGACATGAGAGCCATTCCCTCTCTTTTTATAGCTCAGCAAAAATCCTAAATCTAGTGGAACACGGTGGTGAAATATAATGCTTTCCATCCTTCAGCTCGGCCAAAATATATACATATATATATATATTTCAAGAGACAAAAATAAGGTTAGCAAAACCTGCTGGAAATTTATGTTTTCCACAGCCCTTCATCAGCAGCAGAATATTTGCAATCCTGTTTGGAGCGTAATTTACAAAGAAACAGGGAGACACCGACAAAAACATTAAAATTCAAAATAAACAGCCCCTCTGGCCCCGTTGCAGACCTCCAGCTGTGTCCCAGGGCTTCACGCTAATGGATTATTAATTACAATGCCCTCTGCATAGTAAGTGACACCATGAAAATATTTTCCTTGCAAATGGCTTGTTTGTTAAAAAGAAGAAGAAAGAAAAAAAACCCTGCAGTACCGTGCCGACATGGTCTCATTTGACAAGAAAAAGAAACTTTCCCATCTCTGATGATTTAATCAAGTCTTCATATTTAAAGGAATGTGGAGAAATATGGCTCAGAGAAGACTCAGTTAATGCTCTCCCCGAGACAGACACCCTGTGACTGCAGATCCAGCGGGAAAGGTAAGCGGCCGTTTTGTGACCACCGTGCAACCCACAGCGTCATCACTCCCTGTGATGGCCGCATACAGTTTCCCCCGCCCAGCGTGGGACCAGAGCCTAAGCTTCGGGCTCTCTGCTCCCCCTCAACATCCTCACCGTCCAACTCAGTAGCTGAAGCATTGAAAGATCATATAAATCTTAAATCTCTCAGTAGAATTAAGGACTCTGCCTCCCTGGCATATGGCACCTATGGTTTGAAAGACTGACTTACTGGTGTTTGACATTTTTTCCCTAAAATTTAATCTAAGTGTCTTCTTTGGGTTGGGGGTGGTGGTGAATTGTGTCTTCTGGCATGGGTCTCCAAGAACTCAAGTGACACCCAAATGTGGCATACTTTCAGCAGCCTTTTCGTGAAAAGAAATAACGCCGTTGGTGGAATTTGAACAGAAGAGGCTCCACAGCCATTTTGGGAGGACCTTATAGGTTCCCAGGAGTGAGCACATTTTCATGGAGGAATTGAGAAGCCAGGACATGACATGTGTGTGCAATCAATGCTGGAGGCTACAGCAAAATTAGAGATCGTTTACTGTGCAAGGCACTCCACGAGCATCCTCAGAGGAAATCTCCCTGCGCCTGAATCTTTGAGCGATTCCCTTTCATGGCTTCCGTTGCTGGGTTTGGCCGCCATATTGGCCTGGCGTTTTCAGAGCAGCTTGTCCTCAGCGTGGTGGGGAGATACTGCAAAAATCAGCTCTTCAGTGCATTTTCCCCCAAGGTTTGGATTTGTGCCCTCCAGCATTGGTTCCGCACTGGGGAATAATTTTACCCCCCAGGGGACATTTGGGGGTATCTGGACACACTTTTGGTTATCACAATGGGAGAGGAGGACTCACGATTTAAAAAACAAAACATTTTCAACAAAAAAAGGAAAAGAAAAGAAAACCCAATGGAGGGATTGTTAACTGGCATCTAAAGGAAAGCGTCTAGAGATGCCTTAATGCGCTGCACCAGATGATCTGGGGCCAAAATGTCACGTAGCGCTGAGGTTGAAAAAACCCTGGTCCAGAAGAGCATTCCCATTGCAAGTGGTAATTTCTTTTTTTTTTTTTATACTATGTTTTGGTCTCTTTATTATGGCAATTAGGATTTTCCTATCCGGGGCAGCATTTCAAGCAGGGAAGCCATATAAACTTGACTGTCTCTGGACGGCTACTGCTCCCTTCTTAAAGCGGAAATGGCAGTATTTTTATTAGGGAAGGGAATTGCACTGTCTCAGCCCATGATACCCAGCATGGGGGCGGAGGGGTAAGTCCCCGATTTGTGTGCTTAAATGGGTAGCTATGGGGGCACGGGGGAGGTACAGCTCAAGTGGTAGAGCATGTGCTTACCACGCACGAGGTCGTGGGTTCAATCCCCAGGACCGCCTCCAAAAAAATTAAATAAATAAATAAACCTAATTACCTCCGCTCACCCTCCCCAAAAAAGTATGTTTTTTTTTTAAAAAAAAGGTAGCTATGTAATCTATCAGAGCAACCTACCATAAAGCACATTTATACATCCAAATCTGATGGCATATACAATAAGACTCTTGCAGAATATGTTGAGTTTTGAACGCAATCAGTCTGGCCGATGCCAGGACAAAATTGCTCTGTCTTTGCCATGGATGCAGAACGAAAGAGGATAGCTGTTGGCACTGCGTTAATCTAGAAGAGTAACATCATTTACCAAGAAAGCTATTACTAATAAAAGTCAATGACATTATTAACCAAATTAATTTAAAATAATGAAGAACGTTTTTTTTTTTTTAAATGTTCCTTAGCAAAGAAAAGATACCTACATAGTCTCGATCCCAGTTCCTCGTGGCCAAATCATTATTTTATAAAGTTACAGTTTGGGAGGAGGGATAAATTAGGAGTTTGGGGTTAGCAGACACAAACTACAATGTATAAAAGAGATAAACAACAAGGTCCTACTGTACAGCACAGGGACCTCTACTCAGTATGTTGTAATAACCTACCATGGAAAAGAATCTGGAAAAGAATATATATATGTGTATAACTGAATCACTTTGCTATATATCTGAAACTAACACAACATTGTAAATCAACTAGCCTTCAAAATATAAATAAATTACAAGTAAACAAGTAAATAAAAAGATCTAGAAAATAGTAAAATTATAACCAACTTCTCCGAAGTGGACAGAAGGAGACAGTCA